TTGCACAGGCACCCTATTACAGGAAGTGTCCTTTCTCAGACAGTGTGATAGGGTGACAACTGTCTCCCACTTGTGTTTTTGCGTTGTCACGCTGTCACATTTGCCCCTGGTTGAGTATACTGGCAGCAGTGTTCACAGTCATTGCACAGCCGCCCTATAACAAGGTGTGCCCTGGCTCAGACACTTAGTATGATAGGGTGACAACTGTTTCCAAATTATGCTTTTGCGTTGTCACCCTGTCACACGCACCCCTGGTTGAGTATACTGGCAGCAGTGTTGACAGTCATTGCACAGGCACCCTATTACAGGAAGTGTCCTTTCTCAGACAGTGTGATAGGGTGACAACTGTCTCCCACTTGTGTTTTTGCATTGTCACCCTGTCACATGCACTTCTGATTAAGTATACTGCACACATATATAGGCAACCTATGACAGCAAGTGTGCGTAGTTAGAAACTTCCTGTTACAGGGTGACAACTGCTTTCCAATTGTGCTTTTGTGTTGTCACCCTGTCACATGTGCCCCTGATTAAGTACACTGCACACATATACAGTATAGGTAACCTTTAACAGCCAGTGTCATTGGTTAGAAACTTCCTGTTATAGGGTGACAACTGTTTCCCAGTTGTGTTTTTGTGTTGTCACCCTGTCACACGCAGCCCTGGTCGAGTATACTGGCAGCAGTGTTGACAGTCATTGCACAGGCACCCTATTACAGGAAGTGTCCTTTCTCAGACAGTGTGATAGGGTGACAACTGTCTCCCACTTGTGTTTTTGCATTGTCACCCTGTCACATGCACTTCTGATTAAGTATACTGCACACATATATAGGCAACCTATGACAGCAAGTGTGCTTAGTTAGAAACTTCCTGTTACAGGGTGACAACTGTCTCCCAATTGTGCTTTTGCGTTGTCACGCTGTCACATTTGTCCATGGTTGAGTATACTGGCAGCAGTGTTGACAGTCATTGCACAGCCGCCCTATAACAAGGTGTGCCCTGGCTCAGACACTTAGTATGATAGGGTGACAACTGTTTCCCAATTGTGCATCTGTGTTGTCACCCTCTCACATGTACCCCTGAGTAAGTACACTGCACACATATACAGAATAGGCAGCCTTTAGCAGCCAGTGTCCTTGCTCTGATCCCTCACAAGTCTCACTACTTTTGCTGCGCAGTTTGAACCTCCGGGTTGCATTTGAAGGCAGACAGACATCCAATAATAAAGAACTGACAACAAATATCCCGCTCAGGGGCGGACTGACAACTCATGGGGCCCCCGGGCAATAGGGGATCATGGGGCCCCTGCGTCCTCACCCACACTCAAACCACACCCAAAAAAACCTATGAAAGGTACCAGGGGCACCTCATGGGGCCCCCTACTGACCCCGGGCCCTCGGACAGTGCCCGAGTTCCCAAATGGTCAGTCCGCCCCTGAGCCCGCTACAAGATCGAATATCAACATCGACTTCTGCTGCAATAGTCAGCTTCTAGCCGAAGATTTCCCCCGCAGTACCTTTTGTCTGCCACTAGATGCCCTCAGTCTGATGGCCAACATCACTTGACACACTTCCTCTGAGCCCCCCCCCCAGCCTGTGATTGGACAGTGAAAGGAGGAGCAGCCCAGTGATGAGCTCATCTCTCTGTCACTCTGCTCACTCCTCCTATCAACGTGCTTCTTGTCAGTGCCTGAACTGATTGGCTCCTTGTGCTGCTTCACCATCCCGCAGTCTGAGCCGGAAGACTACAAGTCCCAGCATGCCCTGTACAGGCCTTATATTATATGCCGGAGGACTACAAGTCCCAGCCTGCCCTGTACACAGTCTATATGATATGCCGGAGGACTACAAGTCCCAGCATTCCCTGTACACAACGTATATTATATTCTGGGGGACTACAAGTCCTAGCATGCCCTGTACAGGCCGTATATTATATTGTGGAGGACTACAAGTCCCAGCATGCCCTGCACACGGCGTATATTATATCTCAGAAGACTACAAATCCCAGCATGTCCTGTACACAGCGTATATTATATGCTGGAGGACTACAAGTCCCAGTGTGCCCTATGCATGGCGTATATTATATGCCGGAGGACTACAAGTCCCGGAAAGCCCTGTACACAGCGTATATTATATGCCGGAGGACTACAAGTCCCAGCATTCCCTGCACACAGCGTATATTATATCCTGGAGGACTACAAGTCCCGCATTCCCTGCACACAGAGTATATTATATAACGGAAGACTACAAGTCCCAGCATGCCCTGTACACAGCGTATATTATATGCCGGAGGACTACAAGTCCCAGCATTCCCTGCACACAGCGTATATTATATCCTGGAGGACTACAAGTCCCGGCATGCCCTGCACACAGCGTATATTATATGCCGGAGGACTACAAGTCCCAGCATGCCCTGTACACAGCGTATATTATATAACGGAGACTACAAGTCCCGGCATGCCCTGTACACGGCGTATATTATATTATCTGGAGGACTACAAGTCCCAGCATGCCCTGTACACAGCGTATATTATATGCCGGAGGACTACAAGTCCCGGCATGCCCTGTACACAGTGTATATTATATTCTGGAGGACTACAAGTCCCAGCATGCCCTGTACACAGTGTATATTATATTCTGGAGGACTACAAGTCCCAGCATGCCCTGTACACAGAGTATATTATATTCTGGAGGACTACAAGTCCCAGCATGCCCTGTACACAGAGTATATTATATTCTGGAGGACTACAAGTCCCAGCATGCCCTGCACACGGCGTATATTATATCCTGGAGGACTACAAGTCCTAGCATGCCCTGTACACAGCGTATATTATATCCTGGAGGACTACAAGTCCCAGCATGCCCTGTACACAGAGTATATCCTGGAGGACTACGCACTGCGCAAAATGCAAAATATATATTTTTTCTTTAGTGCAGCACAGAGGACATACGGCAGATGGCATGGACATGTGTGGGGGATGTGTTGGGGGCCACGTTGGGGTTGCATTGGGACCATGTTGGGGCTGCGTTGGGGTTTTATTGGGGCCGTATTAGGGCCACGTTGGGGTTGCATTGGGGCCATATTGGGGTTTGTTGGGGTTGCATTGGGGCCGTGTTGGGGCTGTTTTGGGGTTGCAATGGGGCCGCTTTGGCACTGCGTTTGGGCAGCTTTGCCCTTGCCCAATGCAGCCCAGCAGAGCTGATGTGAATGAGCCCCCAAATATGTCTGAATAATTACATTGTAACATTTCATGTCTTCTATATCTGCGTGGAGTTCCCCTTTAATCTGACACCCCAGTATCTGTGCGGAGTTCCCCTTTAATCTCCCCCCCCCCGGTATCTGCGTAGAGTTCCCCTTTAATTGCCCCCCCCCGGTATCTGCGTGGAGTTCCCCTTTAATCTGCCCCCCCGGATCTGCGCTGGCCAGCCGGCTTCCCCTTTAATCAGATGAGCCCTGGCTATGGGCTGTGACGACGCCACTCGCGTAGGGTTACCGAAGCTCAGGAGGTGGCCCCGGGGACGTCCCCTCCGTCACCAGTCCTGATCCATCACCGGTCCTGATCCGTCCCAGTCCTGATCCCGATCCGCACCGGTAGAGTTCCCCTTTAATTGCCCCCCCCCTTTATCTACGGGCCTGGTGCGTGATCCCGTCAGTTCCCCTTCACCGGCCATGAATCCTAATCCGCCCTCCCCCGGTCCTGATCCGTCACCCCCTGATTCCTAATTGCCCCCGGTCCTGTGGTCCCCGGTCTAATCGGGTCATCCGTCCCAATCTTTCCTGATCCGTCACCAGGTCTCAGCCCTGATCCGTCACCGGACCTGATCCGTCACCAATCCTGATCCCTCACGGTCCTGTGACGGACACCGGTCCTGGTCCCGTCACCGCCCGATCCGTCACCATCCTGACCGTCCCGATCCGCCGTCAAAGCCGTCACCAGTCTGCTATCCGTGACGACGCCACTCCGGTGTAGGGTCCGAAGCCGTCAGGAGGTGGCCCCGGGGACGTTGGTGTCCCTGATCCGTCACCAGTCCTGATCCGTCACCGTCCTGATCCGTCACCGGTCCTGATCCGTCACCAATCCTAATCCGTCACCAATCCTGATCCGTCACCGGTCCTGATCCGTCACCGGTCCTGATCCGTCACCAGTCCTGATCCGTCACCAATCCTCCTGATCCGTCACCAATCCTGATCCGTCACCGGTCCTGATCCGTCACCAGTCCTGATCCCGTCACCCCGGTCCTGGCCGACGCAGCCATCGCCTCCAGCGCCACATGGCATGGACGGGGGGATCGCTCGGGCACGCAGGTTAGCCAGTCATGTGACTGGTATTTAAGTCGATGTCCCGGATGCCGGGTGTCATTCTCAGTATCTGTCCCCATTCTGGATGTATGGACTCTGCACAGTCCCACTTCTCCTGTCCCGAATGCCGGGTGTCATTCTCGGTATCTGTCCCCATTCTGGATTGGGACAGATACTGAGACATTAAAAAAAGAAAAATGTTTTCCTCTTCATTAAATACATTATTTTGCACCCACTGATGTCATACTCACTGAGTCTCTGCGCTTCTCTATGCAATGCAGGCAGATCATGGCTGGTGGGAGGGTGCTGTACAGCTAGCTTTCTGAGAACATCCCAGCGCCCTGCCTCAGTACTCCCCTTTGAGAGCCCTCAGTTCTGAGGAAATCAGTGGGAGGAGTTTTGCAAATATTGAAACACCCTGAAGGGTCAGTGTCAGACTGGAGGAGTGGGCGTTCCCAGGCACATTAGGTAACGCCCACATGTGATGCTGCTGTCCCCATGAGTGGAAGAGCTGAAATCCAAGGGTGGTGGGCCAGGGCTGGGGAGGAAAGAGCTAGATGATGCTGGGCATCCCTCAGCCAGGAAATGAGGCGGAGCTCTGACTGGCTGCAGCTTCTAATGCACATTGTGAGACGCTCCCAGTGTGTGGTGACATCAGAGGAAGACGTTTCATTCCAGGGGAGGAGCTGGTACACCTGTGCTAGACTGAAGGGGAGGAGCCGGTACACCTGTGCTAGACGGAAGGGGAGGAGCTGGTACACCTGTGCTAGACTGAAGGGGAGGAGCTGGTACACCTGTGCTAGACTGAAGGGGAGGAGCCGTACACCTGTGCTAGACTGAAGGGGAGGAGCCGGTACACCTGCGCTAGACTGAAGGGGAGGAGCCGGTACACCTGTGCTAGACTGGAAGGGGAGGAGCCGGTACACCTGTGCTAGACGGAAGGGGAGGAGCCGGTACACCTGTGCTAGACGGAAGGGGAGGTGCCAGTACACCTGTGCTAGACGGAAGGGGAGGTGCCGGTACACCTGTGCTAGACTGAAGGGGAGGAGCCGGTACACCTGTGCTAGACTGGAGGGGAGGAGCCGGTACACCTGTGCAAGACTGGAGGGGAGGAGCTGGTACACCTGTGCTAGACTGGAGGGGAGGAGCCGGTACACCTGTGCAAGACTGGAGGGGAGGAGCCGATACACCTCTGCAAGACTGAAGGGGAGGAGCCGCTACACCTGCGCAAGACTGGAGGGGAGGAGCCGGTACGCCTGTGCAAGACTGGAGGGGAGGAGCCGGTACACCTGTGCAAGACTGAAGGGGAGGAGCCGGTACGCCTGTGCAAGACTGAAGGGGAGGAGCCGGTACACCTGTGCAAGCCTGAAGGGGAGGGGCCAGTACAGCTGTGCAAGATTGGAGGGGAGGAGCCAGTACACCTGTGCAAAACTGAAGGGGAGGAGCCGGTACAGATGGAGGTTCAGTTTAAGTTGCCTCAACAATGTTCCTAGTGGGGCCACTCCACGGGTTTCTCTACCAAACCAAGGGCCCCTCTGCCCACCCATTGGCCCCTTGGTAGCTGCTAGGGTCGCCGTCACTCCACTGAATAAATCAGATCAGGAAGCTGGAATGTAGGATTGCCGGCTCTGTGGACAAGTCTCATCGTCTCCCCGGAGAGCAACACACCTGGAATCCTCATCTCCTCCCCCCTCTGGGGGGGACATGGCATGTTCACCGGAGTTCATGGCTGGTGACATGTTTCAGATGAGGAATCCAAAAACACACCGGGGAACTCGGATGGTGGGAACCCCTCATAATGGACACGGCAGGTGTACAGACCAAGGAACTCGGCGCAGGGATGGTGGGAACCCCTCATAATGGGCACAGCGGGCGTACAGACCCGGGAACTCAGCACAGGGATGGCGAGAACCCCTCATAATGGGCACAGCGGGTGTACAGACCCGGGAACTCAGCACAGAGATGGTGGGAACTCCTCATAATGGGCACGGCGGGTGTACAGACCTGGGAACTCAACATAGAGATCTCGCCAAACAAACTTTAAGTCCTGAAATATCAGTTCTGGGTGGACTGGCCCCTCCCTATCCCCCAGGCTGTGATTTGAGAAGTCTAGCAGTGTGCAGCCAATCACGATGAGACTTCCTGTTCGGTGCAGCTCTGTGTTTGGTGTCATCCAGGTGAAGGTGTCGCAGCGATGAACACACACAGAAGGATCTGCAGGTGAGTTGGGTGTCCTTCTGACCACCTTCTCATCACCTTCCTATCTCCTTCTGACCACCTTCCTACCTTCTCATCTCCTTCTGACCACCTTCCTACCTTCTCATCTCCTTCTGACCACCTTCCTACTCATCTCCTTCTGACCACCTTCCTACCTCCTTCTGACCACCTTCCTACCTTCTCATCTCCTTCTGACCACCTTCCTACCTCCTTCTGCCCTTCCTCCTTCTGCCTTCCCCACCTCTTTCTGCCCACCTTCCTACCTTCTCATCTCCAGAGGTCTGGTCGGCTCCCTGAATCCATCCAAACATTTGTGTTCCTCATCTGCCATGTAGATCCCAATCCAGCCTCTCCATCTGGGGGGGGGGGGGGGGGGGCAGCAGGGAGCGGTCTTCTGTAATCAGCTTCAGTCTGGTTGGGAAATTCTCTAGGAACACAAAACATGTTTCTCAGCCCCGAAGGAAGCTGCAGTTAGCCTGCTTGTGTCTCCAGAACAGTCATGATGAGGGCCGGGCTGAGGGGTAGGCAGAAGAGGCGGCTGCCTTGGGTGCTCCAGCAGGAAGGGCGGTACAAAAAGGGCAGTAAGGTATGGCTCATTCGGTGGGGCGTCACACTTTGGGTGCCAAAGGACCTTGTCCAGCAACTCAGGACAATTGACCCTTGGAGCTACACTGGCCAATTTAGGCTTCGTTTACGCCTCTCTGGTGTGCTTGGGCTACAGCTAACCGCAGATTCGAAATACAAATACCAAAGGTGTAAATGGGCCCTTAACGCCCCCCAAAAATTGAGGAGCAATTATGACCTGGGAGGGGAGGGCAGTGAGAGGAAGCAGTGAGTGCAGCTATATCATAGTAGGGTGTAGGTGGGGGGCACAAGGAGCTCCCGGTGATGTGCCCCCTGGGGGTGGTGTCCCAGGGTGTGCCAAAAAAACACAGATAAAGGGTTCAAGTTCATCAAGGCCTACCCTGATGTTGGGGAGAAGATCTGTGGCCTTCAGGTCTTTTTCTTCCTCCCAACCGGGGGTCTTTCTTCGGGAGAGCCCTCACCAAGTACTTGGAGTTCCAGCTTCGGGGGTCCCTTGGGGTCCACATGTCTTTGGCCTAGGTAGACCATTGTCTCAGGAATTCTGCACCCTGGGGAGGCTCAGGAATTGAGGCCCTTCCTCTTCGGAGGTTCGTCCTATTGTGTACCCTTCATAATTTTTGTGTGCCATGATTTTTACTCTTAACTCTTTTATGGGTTGGGTGAAGGTATTCAGACTGGCCCTGTAAGTCTTCATGGAGGACATATGGCCTTATGGTGAGGTTCTCCCACTCCCATGGGGTCTCCCTTCAAGGGAGCCCCACCTAGTACTTTGGGGGCCTGGCTTCGGCAGGCCTCCCGAAGAATGGGATCTGCTTGGTTTCAGACGGGTAGACCATTGGCGCCCATTCCCCGTCAAGAGTCTTGTGCCCTTGAAGATCAGATCTAGGGTCCTTCCTCGTTGCAGGTTGGTCCTGTATTGTACCCTTTGTGCACTTTTTTTTTTTTTTTTGTGCTGTGATTTCACAGCTCAATTTTTGTTCTTGTCTACAGGGTTCAACTAAGCACAGCATTGCGAAATTCTATAGCAAAAAAAAAAAAATTAGTAGGGTGTAGGTCTTCAGACTTACCTTGAAAGTCTTCGTGGAGGACATGCGGCCTTATGGTGAGGTTCTCCCACTCCCATGGGGTCTCCCTTCAGGGGAGCCCCACCTAGTACTTCGGTGGACTTTGCTTCGGCAGACCTCCCGAAGAATAGGGTCTGTCTGGTTTCAGATGGGTAGACCATTGACACCCATTCTCCGTCAAGAGTCTTGTGCCCTTGAGAAGCCCCACCTAGTACTTTGGTGGTAGGCTTACTTTGCTTTGGTAGGCCTCCCCGAAGAATGTCGGCCTGGTTTAGAACAGGTAGACCATTGGTGCCCATTCTCCGTCAAGAGCCTTGTGCCCTTGAGAAGCCCCACCTAGTACTTTGGTGGTAGGCTTACTTTGCTTTGGTAGGCCTCCCCAAAGAATGTCGGCCTGGTTTAGAACAGGTAGACCATTGGTGCCCATTCTCCGTCAAGAGCCTTGTGCCCTTGAGAAGCCCCACCTAGTACTTCGGTGGTAGGCCTACTTTGCTTTGGTAGGCCTCCCCGAAGAATAATGTCTGCCTGGTTTAGAACAGGTAGACCATTGGTGCCCATTCCCCGTCAAGAGCCTTGTGCCCTTGAGAAGTCCCCACCTAGTACTTTGGTGGTAGGCCTACTTTGCTTTGGTAGGCCTCCCCGAAGAATAATTCTGCTTTTAGAAACAGGTAGACCATTGGTGCCCATCCCCGTCAAGAGTTTTGTGCCCTTGAGAAGCCCCACCTAGTACTTTGGCGTAGGCTACTTTGCTTTGGTAGGCTCCCCAAAGAATAGCGTCTGCCTGGTTTCGAACTGGTAGACCATTGGTGCTCATTCACCGTCAAGAGTCTTGTGCCCTGGAGGATCCTTCTTCTTCGGAGGTGAACCAGGTGATACTCCCGCTTTTACCAAAAGACCCGACCTGCCGCCAAATTTTTGTTTTCGGGGGTTATCCTTGACACACATGCAGAACTTGTTCCCACGTATGTTAGCATGTTGGTCCACAGACCTATCCATAGCCTACGTTTATTGTATGCAGATGTTTACCCAGGGTGTTGGTTATGGTTTGTATACCTTTCTATATATATCTTGTATGGTCCCTATAGTTGTATACAATGTTTTCTGGATTTATGGTGACCACCTGACCAGCACAGGGTGTCATCTGAGTTCTTTACCAGCTGGTTAACCACTTAAAGTGGAGCTCCACCCAAAGGTTCTGCTTTCAGGCCTCTTCCCCATCTCCTGAATGGAGCTTTTGGGGAGGAGCTGGTACCCGATTTTTGACAGATACCCACTCCCACTTCTTCTCCGACCACCTAGGCCAGTGGTCTCCAAACTGGATGTGGCCCTTTGCTTGCCTTTATTTGGCCCTTGAAGCATTATATAGGGTCTCCTAGAAGAACCCTAGGGCTCCGCGGAACCCTGTACTGAGAATGCCTACAAATAGCTTTTATCAGGAAAATACTTGATGACGGCCACTAGGTGGAGCTGATGATCATAGCAAATAATATCTGGCCCTTGAAGCATTATCTAGGGACCCCTAGAGGAACCTCCACGGAACCCTGCTCTTAGAATGCCTACAATTGGCGTTTATCAGGAAAATACTTGATGATGGCCATTAGATGGAGCTGATGATCATAGGAAATATCTGGCCCTTGAAGCATTATCTAGGGACCCCTAGAAGAACCTCCAGGGAACCCTGCTCTGAGAATGCCTATAAATAGTGGTTATCAGGAAAATACGTGATGGCGACCACTAGGTGGAGCTGATGATCATAGGAAATAATATACTTCTTTACTATGATCGCCAGCTCCATCTAGTGGCCATAATGCGTTATTTACCTGAACCACTCTATTCTTTATGAATGAATAACATTTGACCTGCAGAGGCAATAGCCTAACAGAACATTGGGCCCCCCTCCATCCTTGCAGTGATGTCACTGACTCTGCCAAGTGGTGCTGGACCTGGCACTGGTTACCCACAGGTCTAGGAACCCCCTAGCCACCCCACAGAACCCCTTTTTGAGAATGGTTTATCAGGAAAATATCACATAATGACCACTAGATGGAGCTGATTCAAAAAATACTTATTTACTATGATCTCCAGCGCCATCTAGTGGCCATATTGAGTTATTTACCTGTACCTCTCCTTTAGGAACGAATAACATTCGACCTGGAGAGAGAATGGCCAAATAATATTCAATTTTTGCCCCCAAGTCACACAGAAGGAATTTTTTTTTAAATGCTTCCCTATGTGTGCAGTCTATAGTGTATAGCTGTGTGATCTTTGAGATTTTTTTTTTTTTTTTTTTTATTCGATATATTTTTACTTTTTTTTTTTTCATACATTTTATATATTTTTACATTTTTTAT